TGTGTACAGTATCAGTATGCAGGTGTGCATACAGGTGTGTAGGCTACAGCAAACAAAATATAGATACAGGGACTCTTCTACTTACGAACGTGTTAAGTTCCAGAGGCCTGTTCGTAAGTCGATTCGTTTGTAAGTCTCAACTTTACTCATGTCGATTCCAAACAATTTATACGGCATGTACACTAAACACGGGAAATGCCTTTAACAGTTCTACAATATCCTGGAGATTTAAATGGCACTTGTGATTCATGGTCTGCTGATGCAGATGCCACTGTTTCTTCACGTTCTGCAGATGGAGATGCCACCGCCACCATCGCTTGTGTGGCGGTTGAGCTTACGAACTCTCGGTCCGAACAACCAACCGGACATACGGACAGGTGTTTGTATCTCTGTAAGTTTGTAAGTCGAATGTTCATAAGTCGAGTAGTCCCTGTATATATAAATATACACACGGTGTGTCCTGATGATGTGGCGATTTCTGACCATGCTGGTGGGAATGAGAGACCTTGCTTGGATCATGCCACTAACAGCTGGGGCCTTACCATCAGTCCAACACACAAAAAACATAACCAATGCCAAGTACCTGCCTTTGGGTAATTGTCTGCCGTCATCCAAATACCCCAACCACCCACACCAATTCCACTGCCCCATTCGCGATGGAGCCAAGTTGTGGAGAGAGTGGGATACGTTTTCCGTAACACCTCCCCCTCCCCCCCCCAAGGCCAGGTGTGCTTTATAGAGCAGCTCCATCTTAGCAGTGGAGATCACGCTCCGAAATCAGTCCGAGCGGAATTATTATCTTTTCCGTCAGCTGCGTAACGCTGCTACTGCTGGTGCTTCTCGGGTCATGGTCATCCACTACGCTTGTGAAGAGTAGGGAGTAGCCACCCGCCCTACCTTTTCAAAATGGAAACCTGCGCCATTTTGAGACATTCAGGGGCTGGCCCTGCATCCACGACCCACCCTTGGGGAGTTTTAAAATCAGGCTTGGATTGCGCAAGGGGTTGTCACAGATTCTCGAACGATCCGAAAACAGTCCACCATCGGCCTGCCTACGACCATCGGCTTGTCATCTATAATAAGGTGTTGGTGGCTGCCATTCCACTAATCGCTGCGTCCATACAAAGACCCCTCCCACCCCCGCACCGCCCCCATTGAAAGCCACAATAGCCTTGGTCTCAGCTCGCCCCTCATGATGACGGTTGGCATGCTAAAATTATCCTAGAGAGTTGATAATCAGGGTGTGTGCACGTGTGTATGTAGGTGTGTGTGTGTACACGTGCGTTACACAGGTACGAGTGTGTGTGTACATGTGTGGGGAGCGGTAGTGTAGCGGTTAGCGCTACACTGCGTTATGAACCTGGCGACCCGGGTTCGATTCCCGCTCACGGCCAACACCAGTGACGATTATCTGAACCGGTCCTGGGCCTCCCCTAGGTCGGCTCAGCCTCAAATGAGTACCTGGTGCGGTGGATAAAAACATTACCACTGGGGAGACTAAGGCGGTCGGGCGTGGTGCTGGCCACTCACCCCCTCGTGTACCATTCCGGCCTTCATAGGTGCTCGCTAACAGCACTTGCCCCTACAGTCTGTTAAGGCTATACGGGGGATCTTTGTCTTTGTATGTAGGTGTGTGTGTGTTTACACGTGCGTTACACACGTGTATGTGTGGGTGTGTGTGTACAAGTGCGTTATACAGATATGTGTGTGTGTATATACACGGGTGTATGTGTGTTCAGGTGTGTTCAGGTGTGTTCAGGTATGTGTACATAGTGGTTACGAATCCAGTGACCCAAGTTCGATTCCCACCCACGGCCAACACCAGTGACGATTATCTGAACCGGTCCTGGGCCTCCCCCTAGGTCGACGCAGCCTCAAATGAGTACCTGGTGTGGTGTGTAGTAAACATCGCTCCTGGGGAGACAAAGGAGGCCGGGCGTGGTGCTGGTCCCCGACCTCCTCGTGTGCCGTTCCGGCCTTCATAGGTGCTCGCTAACAGCACTTGCCCCAACAGTCTGTTAAGGCTATACGGGGGATCTTGTCTTTGTATAGGTGAGTACGTGTTCATAACACAGGTGTTTTTCGTCTTTGTTGGTACGGGTGTGTACACGTGTGTTCCACAGGTGCGTGTGTACACACGTGTTTGTGTACAGGTGCGTTACACGAGTGTGTGGTATGTGTACAGGTGTGTGTGTGTGCGTGTGTGAGGTGGATACACGTGTGTTACACGTGTGTGTGTGTGAATACACGTGTGTATGTTCAGGTGTGTGTGTGGTGGAGCCGTGTATGGTGATATGTGCATTTGGTGGTGGTGTTGTGTGGTGGTGCTCTCTGTGGTGGTGGTGGTGGTGTTATGTGTGAAGGTAGGTGCTCGCAGTCTGTTGTGGGCTATACAGGGGGATCTTTATCTGTAGCTGTATGTATCTAAATGTTTATTCGTGTCCATTATTAGAGCGGCAATGATTGTTGAACGTTTCTCTTTGTTGAACGTTTTGATTTTGGCGCCCATTTTTTTTCGTACGAGTGCCATGTGACTCAACACGTTCGTCTGTGTACAGTATCTGTGTATTATTTGTGTCCTGTCTGTGTGTCGATGTGCGTGTGTTTGTGTATGTCAGTCGACCCGTGACACCTGGGTCTGCCCCGTGACCTCCTGCCAGTGGGCGTTCGATATTTCACGTGGCCTCAAGGTGCACATGGCCTGGCACAAGAGTCGTGGTGACGTCACCGCCACTTAGTGACGAATGGCGGTTGTTGTTGTGTGCATTCTTACGTTGTAAAGTACTCCACACGAGTCGTGTGCGATACGGCCTCGTGTAGATTACTGGACAGTTTTCAATATCGTGCTGTACTGAAGCGTTTGTGTACTGTATTCTGTGGTGCATGTGGGCTTGTATAGCATAGCGTGTAGTGAACTACAGTGTGGACAGTGTCGTGCAGGCTGTGTGTGTATGTGGGCCGTGATGGTGTGAGTGGGCAGTGTGTACGTAGCTAGACGAGTGTGTACGAGCGTCTGGCACCTTTTCTACAAAGCTCCACGGTGGAAACACCGAAATAAGCTCGTGCTAGACACCAGGGGCGTAGGCGTTTATGACACCTTCAGGCTAAACTCCATCTGGCAGAGCCAGACTGACCCCCCCCCCCCCATTCGCCCTTTTCAGGGTGGCTCCAGGAACAGGAGAACACTGCGATTGGCCACGTGGAATGTTCGGACTGTCGTTGTGGGAGAGAGGCTGCCGTGCCTCAAATATTGGCAGAAGTAGACACCTCTCCTGAGTGGTTAGCTGAGGTGCCATCTGTGGAGGAATTGCGAGGGGGCGATCCAAATACACAGAGACGACTTCCCAAGCGAAATGCTGAGGGAAGGTGGCATATGTGTGCAGACTGCCCTACGTTACATCATCACAATTGTCTGGACCACAGGACGGATTCTGTAGGATTGGAAGGATGCCATGGTGGTCTCTCCTCTTTAAGACAGGGGACTACCAGGAGAGGGGGGACTGTACAGATTGTAACAACTACAGGCATCTCTCTTCTCAGTGTGCCGGGAAAGGTACTGGCAAGGATTATTCAACATCGCCTTGCCAGGCACGCTGAGGAGGGGCTTGTGGAGCCCCACTGTGGGTTTCGACCAGGGCAGAACTGCACAGATGCCATATTCTCTGTGTAGGGAATTCCTACAAGACCTACAGCTGTGCTTGATTGATCTGGTCAAGGCCCATGATACAATGAACATGCCAGGACTCTGGGCTGTTCTTCGTGCTTTTGGAGTCCCTGATTTTCTGTTCACACTCATTAAGGGCCTTTATTATGGTGGACAGGTCTTGGTGAAGCTACTCCATGTTCACCTTGGGGTGCGACAGGGATGTCCTTTGGTCCCGACGTTACTCAACATCATCTTTGACCACATAGTTCGAGAATCTTCCCATTGTTGTACTGGAGGAATTTCCATGTGGTACAGATACAATGGAATGCTGATTAATGCCCGAGTGCGGTTGAGGGATGGCTCCCTATTGGTCAACCATGTTACATATGCTGATGATCTAGTGATTGCCGCTCTCTCAGAGGAGGAGTTGGAGGCGCTGCTGCTGAGTGTGCCACTAAGAGGTGAGGTCTTACCATCAGCCCCACGAACACTAAGCACCTGTCTAGGTATTGTGTGCCTCCAAACACCACCCCCACCCCCCCTCTCAGCTCCCCATTGGTGATGGAGCAGTTGTGGAGAGTGGAGGGTTCCCCATACCTGGGGAATGTGCTGATGACCAGCTTCGGTTTGACAGCAGATGTCTCACTCTTAATCAGTCGGGGATCATTATCTTTTCATCACCTGAGTAATGATGTGTGGAAGCTACCTGGTCTGTCGCTCCAAACGAAGCTCCGGGTCTTCTCGGCCACATTCATGATCTCCCTTCTCTTTGAGTGTGAAACGTGGACCCCTCTGATGGAACATCTGCGCCGATTAGAAACATTCAGGTTGGCTTGCCTACGATCCATTCTTGGTTTAATCAGGCTGGATTGTGTGAGGAGTTCACAAATCCTTGAAAGATCTGGGCATAATTCCATCAGTGACCAACACTTAAAACAATGGGTGGAGCGCCGGGCGGCTAAAATGCAGCAAGTTGGCACAGTAGCGGATGCAGCTGGTGCTTCTACCAATCATCTCAGTCATTCAACCCATGGCACCTGCTGGGTCTGTCCCGTAACCTCGTGTCAGCGAGCCTTCAACACTTCACTTGGTCTCAAAGTGCACCTCGCCTGGCACAGGCGCCCTGTCACTTAGTGGCGAATGGCGGATTTTGTATACACGTGTGTGTGTATAAACGTGTGTGAGTGTATACAGGTGTGTGTATACACGTGTGTGTATAAACGTGTGTGAGTGTGTTCAGGTGTGTGTATAAACGTGTGTGAGTGTATACAAGTGTGTGTATACACGTGTGTGTGTTCAGGTGTGTGTTTATACAGGTGTGTGTATAAACGTGTGTGAGTGTGTTCAGGTGTGTGTGTATAAACGTATGTGAGTGTGTTCAGGTGTGTGTGTATAAACGTGTGTGAGTGTGTTCAGGCGTAAGTGTTCAGGTGTAAGTGTTCAGATGTGTGTGCATACAGATGTGTATGTATAAACGTGTGTGAGTGTGTTCAGGTGTGAGAGTGTTCAGGTGTATGTATACAGGTGTGTGTATACAGGTGTGAGTGTTCAGGTGTGTGTGTATACACGTGTGTGCGCGTGCATTACACAGGCGTTGTCCGTCTGTTGGTCATCACCGCGCTCACTTCCTCCGTGTTGCCCTCCACTACCTGCTGCTGCTGCTCCTGACGCAGCCGCGTCTGAAGCAACTGCTGCTGCTGCAGTTGAAGCAGGGAATCTGGATACAGCTGCGGCTGCTGATGAAGCGGTTGTGGTGGCAGTGCCGGCGGTGGTGGCGGTTGTTGTTGACGCTGCTGCTGATGCTGATACTGCTGCTGATGCAAGTGGTGGTGGTACGGCAGCACGATTTGATTCTGCAACTGATGCGCTTGATTGTGGTTCTGATTCTGCTGCTGCAGATGGTGATAATGATGATGATTATTATTCTGCTGATTCTGCTGCTGATGCTGGTGATGCTGACGCTGTAGCTGCTGCTGATGCAGGTGCTGATGCATGTGGTTCTGCTCCTGCTCCTGCTGCTGATGCTGATGCTGCTGCTCTTGCTGATATTGAGATTGGGAGCGGTGCTGAGCGATGTAGGCGTGAGCTGCGAGCACCCCGGACGCCTCGGCTAGGAGGAAGGACAGAGCCCCGGAGTAGAAGGACCACCCGTAGGGGTGCAGACCCTTCTTGGGATCACCTTTCTGCGGGTCGCCTCCGCTGGCCGAGATGAAGACGATCATGCCGATGATGTTGGAGAGACCTTTGATGGGGTTTTAGATGGAGGGTGTTTCGGGAGGGAGTGGGTGGTGGATTTTTGTAGGGGTCGGGTGAGGGATAAGAGAGACACAGGTGATGGTGGTGAGTGAGTGAGTGAGAGGTGATGGTGAGAGCGAGGGGGCTCAGAGGTTTGGCGGTGCGAGCTGGAAGTGATTTGGACCATCGTTTGAGTCGATGTTTATTGCCGTTGGCGGATTAGAGAGACAGAGAGATTGAAAGAGACGGGGAACGGAGATGTGGAGATGCAGAGAGAGATACAGGCACAGACGATGGAGATATATATACAGAGATAATGGGAGAGAGCTGCAGAGAGAAAGGGACAGAGATACACACATAGAGAGAGGGGAATATATAGAGAGAGATACTGACACAGAGCGATATGGAGAGAGAGATAGAGACTACAGTAAAACATTGGATTGCGAATATAATCCGTTCCGGAAACGTGTTGGTAATCCAAAGCACTCGTATATCAAAGCAACTCGTATATCAGTTGTGATCACGTGACGCTCGGCAGTACAAATCGTCTATACACACACCTCGTATTGCAAGAACCACGCTCATTTATCAAATTAATATTTAATTAAAATTTTTGCCCGTCTTGCAAAACACTCGCAGACCAAGTTACTCGCGATCCAAAGTTATACTGATAAAGAAAAAAGGAGAGAGATACAGACAGAGAGAGATAGAGATACAAAGACACAGAGAGAGGGAGAGAGATACAGGGGGATATAACGTGAGAGACACAGAGATAAATCCAGCCACAGCGAGAAAGGGACAATGCACGGGTTACCTGTCTACACCGTACATTGCATCTCAGTGGAGGAGGAAGAAGAGCGAGGAGGAAGAGGATCGAGGAGGGAGGAGAAAGAGGGAAGAGGAAGAGGAAAGAGGGAGGAGGAAGAGGGAGGAGGGAGGAGGAAGAGGGAGGAGGAAGAGGGAGGAGGAGGGAGGAGGAGGAGGAAGAGGGAGGAGAGAAGAGGAAGAGGGAGGAGGGAAGAGGGAGAGGGAGGAGGAAGACGGAAGAGGAAGAGAGAACAGGGAGGAGGAAGAGGGAGGAGGGAGGAGGAGGAAGGAGGGAGGAGGAGGGAGGAGGAAGGAGGAGGAGGGTTGTCACGTTTTTTCAGAGCTCTTGCCAGACCGTGAAAACTTTTAATTGCCTCATGTTATTGTCTCGCTCTTTTTTTTTTGCGTCTCACATTTTATTCAGTGGCGGGGCTTCCCTCGCTGTACTTTTTGGTCATTTGCGGTGCTGGGTTTTGTGTTTATTTCGCAATATTTGTGCACGTTCTTTTTTCCTTTGTTAAGAGCGGAGCGTAGTGGCCTGGCCGGACCGGTCCCACTAGCCCCGCGTGTGTTTCTGTGGTGTGATTTCGCTATAATTTTCAACGCGTTTTTCGTCTCCCATTGTTTTCCTTCTCCCCCTCCCTCCCTTCACAGCAACGGTGTACACGATGTGCGTCTCATGCAGAGGTCGCCTGTGCCAGTCTGGCTCGAGGGGGCTGCCTCGAGACCGTCCACCCCCCCCCCCCCCCGTGTACAGCACCGCCAGCAGCAGCGGGACCAGAGCAGTCAGGAGCTGCTGCGCCGGCAGCGGCAATCTCGCCACTCTGGCGTCCGCTGTCAGGGCCCTCGGCTGAGGTCGCCATCGAGGCCTACGTCGAGCGCCTCGCGTCCGTGGTCCCGGCGACTGCAATCAAGTTCGCTTCCAAAAACGATTGGCGAGGCCTTGTTCGTTTTGGAGGCGGAGAAAGAGTGGTCCTTTGTGGCCGTGCCCCAGGGTTTGACGGTGGGCAAGCGGGATGTCGTCCTGGAGCCACTGCCTTCCATCTGCGGCGAGGGTGGTGCTTTCCAACGTGGCGAAGCTGGGCACCGTCACGTCGCCCATTTGCCCGGTGCCGCTGGGCTGTGGGAGACCGGCCCGGGGGAAGCACGACTTTGCTATCCTTAAGACGACAATTCTCAACGTGCTAGCGAGACCTGGACAACCCGAGAAGGGCGCGTTCATGGTGATGCACGAAGGGATGCCCCACAAAATATTTTATGCCAAAGCCACCATCAGATGCCACCTCTGCAAGGGTGAGGAGTTCTTCAGGAGGGTGTGCCCCAATGAATTACTCCCCATGAACTCCAACAAGGATTGTCTGGCAGGAGAGAGGAGTGGCACTGAGCAGGTGGAGCAGACACCTGCAGCTCCGACTACACCAGATGAGGTGACAGGTCCCAGCAAGACTCCTGCTGTGACAACGGACGTCCCCATTTAACATTCTGCAACACCCAGATGCCCAAAGAGTTAGTACAGGGATACCTCCGTCTCTCTGGCCTCCGAATCTGAAGAGGGAACTGAGGGGGATTATCCTCGGGATCTCCTGGACCTAAAGCCACCAGCACCAGGAGAGGCAGAGCTGGACGGCCCAGTGGTGCGCAGGACCTGCCCACTGCTTCAGACACTTCCACCAGTAGCACTCTGAGGTGGAAGTGGCGGGAGACAACGCGCAAGGATAACTTTTGGGATATGGGTGGAGCCCCGTGGGTGTTGCTACCCCCCCCCCCCCCACCAAAGTCTCCTGAGCACCCATCGCCCCGAGTGGAAGGAAGGGTAGAGAACGCCGACACCGCGGCTGCAGAGGCTACTTCCTCCTCTCAAGTTGTGGGGGCAACGGCGCTGCGGGGGCCGTCGAGGTGGCTGAGGAGGGGAGGGTCACTGCCCAGCCTTCTGCCAGGATGCCCCACAAGCCTCGCAGGGAGGCCTGCTGCTGTTGCTAAGGAGGTGAGTGGTGGCATTCCACCTGCCACTTACCCAGCGGGTGAGCACATGGAGCCAGCCATGGACCCAACTCCTGGGTCCTCACATGCAGGGCCTGGAAGCCAGAAGGGGGACTCGTGTGACGACTTCAGTGTGGGCAATGAGACCATCCGGGTCTCATTGAGGTCATCTTTGCGAGGACCCATCTTCTGTCAGGAAGACCTGTGGAGGTTATTTGAAGAATCCCACAGAAAACCGACCAATGTCATGGAGGCTCTGTCGAGATGGGGAGACATGGACACCATAGAGGCCTCCCTCAGACATGGCCTCGTGGAGCTCCAATAGGATGGGAGGAAGTCGCAAGACATAGAGAGGTCCAGAGTGATACATTTTAGCAGTAAATTAACTTACTGGAATAGGCAGGCCACTCACTCACAATAACGTGGATTGCCTCCCTGAATATTAATGGATGCTAAGGGGTGATGAGTTATTATGTGGCGCCCCTAGCTAGGCAACACAAGGTCACCGTTCTGTTTGTGCAGGAGAACCATCTCACTATGGACGGTGCCTGGAGGAGGGAGTGGAGAGGGGACTCCTTTTTCAACCACTTCAGCGGCACCGCCTCGGGAACAGCAACAGTGTTCTCACCGAACTTGACGCCCGACACCGTGAGCCAGGTGGAAGTGGTAAAAAGGAAGGTCCTTGACGTCACAGTGCAGATCAGCGACACCACCATCCACCTCATCATCGTGTAACGCTCCCACCACTGACAGCGAGAGACGCGCGTTCTTGCAACTTTTGTGGAACCACTTCAGTGACGTGCCAGGCGACGAGTGTGTGGTCATGGAAGGTGACTGCAACTGCACGCTGAATGCCCTGGACCACACAGGTAAGGCGCAATGCAACGCCAAGCTCCAAAAGGGAGCTCCACGACCTTCTGGACGCATCCGATCTGGTGTATGTGTGGCGGCTTCACCACCATGGGCGGCGAAGCTTCACCTTCATGCAGACATGGGTCAGTAAACCAGCTACCCAGTGCAGGATCGAACACATTTTTCCAGAAGTCTTGTCTCGAGTGGCCCAACTGCTGACATCAGGGCTGCACCACTAACAGACCACAACCAAGCTGTTGTGGCCATCTAGCACTTCAACAACTCCCTGTTGGAGGATAGCACGTTGGCCGAGCTCTTTAGGGAATTCTGGGAGAGCAGATGGGCTTGTTGACAACCTGGTCCTCCATGGAGAGAGAGGAGGGATGGAGGAGGAGGAGGGATTAAGGAGGCGTGCGGGAGGTTACCTGCCGACACAAGCATTGTGGCCGCCACGAGGAGCAGGAGCCTCCATTGATCCCGAGTCTCGCCAAGGCAGCAGCAGAGGCAGCCGGAGAGCAGCAGAGCAGCGCTCAGCGACGGAAACGCGGCCGACGAACGCACCGCCTCTGCAAGAGCAGCGCAACATCGTCATCGTGAACAACAGTGGCATCAGCAGCAGGTGTAGTAGCAGCAGGTGTAGTAGTAGCTTCAGCAGCAGGTGTAGTAGTAGCATCAGCAGCAGGTGTAGTAGTAGCATCAGCAGCAGGTGTAGCAGCAGTAGCATCAGTAGGTGTAGTAGTAGCATCAGCAGATGTAGTAGTAGCATCATCATGTGCATCAGCAGCAGTAGCATTATCGTCGTCAACAGTGGCATCAGCAGAAGTAGTAATAGCATCAGCAGGTAGCGTAGCAGCATCAGCAAGTGTAGTCGTAGCATCAGCAGTCACTGGTATGCCTTTAGAAATATCATCGTCAGCTTCAGCAGTAGCATTAGCAGATGTAGCAGCAACAGCAGTATTATCAGCAGGCGCAGTAGTAATAGTAGCAGCAGTAGCATCAGCAGGTGCAGTAGTAGTAGCATCAGCAACACCATCGGCGTTAGTATCATCATCAGCAGCATTAGCAACAGTAGTTGAGGTATCATCATTTAGGTTGAGGGTTCGATCTCGACCCTGACGACGCCTGTTGTAGATTTGGAGTTTGCGGTGTCTCTCTTTCTCCCCGTGGTCCCATGGTTTATTCTCCGGGTCCTCTGGTGTTTCCCCTCCACATTTAGAATCAAAATCACGTGATTTAACAGTCATTTTGCTGCTGTTGCACATTCCCAGATAGTAAGTCACTTTGTGGAGCAGCTATCATTTGTGGTGGCCAGGGTCGCTTCTGACAAAATAGCTACATAGCACCTCAGTGGTGGCCTTGGTAAAAAAAAAACCACGGAGTTTATAGTTTTAGTTGAGTTTCAATGTGAACAGAAAATTCCTCCGACTCTTTGGGTATACTCAACACTACCGATAGACTCAACACCACCCAGATTGAACACTAACCATGGACTCAACATTGCCCATATACTCAATGCTACGCATAGACTCAACACTACCCATAGACACAACACTGTCCACAGACTCAACACTGTCTAAATACTCACTCCTAACCATAGACTAAACACTGTGCATATACTAACTACTACCCATATACTACAACATTACCCATAGACATAACACTGTCCACAGACTCAACACTGTCCACAGACTCAACACTGCCCATATACTCAGCACTGCACCTCAGATGAGCACGGTTGGTTAAGTACGATGCGACAGAAGTTCAACGTACACACATTCTTCCAATCCTGCAGAACCCCATATAGTGATGATGTCGATACACATAGTGCAGCCTGCACTCAATCACTGCTCTGCATCAGCAGTTCGCTTTGGGTGATAATCTCTGCCGTGGCGCTGTTTCCTGCTCTCAGACTCTAGATTGCCCCTTTTTCACCTTCGCAACAGATGGGCAACCTCAGCCAACCTCTCGCAATGGGGATTGGCTACTTTCGCCAATGCTAGATGCACGGCAGCCCCATTGCAATTATCATCCCCCACTTTGCCACTCACTCACAGGGGTTGGCTTCTTCCTCCAATACTAAAGGCACAGCAGCCCCAGCAGGGCCATCAGCTACCACCTTGCCACTCACAGGGGTTGGCTTCTTCCTCAAATACTAAAGGCACAGCAGCCCCAGCAGGGCCATCAGCCCCACCTTGCCACTCACTCACAGGGGTTGGCTTCTTCCTCAAATACTAAAGGCACCGCAGCCCCAGCAGGATCGTCATCCCCACCTTTCCACTCACTCATTCACTCACAGGGGCTGGAACTTCCTCCAATACTGGAGGCACCGCAGTCGCAGCAGGGCCATCACCTCCACCTTGCCACTCACTCACAGGGGGCAGTGTCTACTTCTTCCGATACTAGAGGCAAGGCAGCTTAAGCAGGGTCACCATCCTCACCTTGCCCCACGACGTCATTAATTTGAGCCGAGGGGTTTCCCATCCCGATCGGGACCTCACAGACATTGCGCAGCCAAAACGCGGAGGACTGGTTCCTGGGGGTCGGAGATCGGGTCACCATTCATTCCCTTGACAGAAGGTAATAGTTATGGCCTGGCAAATTAAGTTGATGATTATTGTATCACTGCTGATGATGCTGCTGATGTTGCTGCTGATAATGTTTCTGCTGCTGCTGCTGATGATGATGATGATGAAACTGCTGCTGCTGATGATGATGCTGATGCTGATCTTGCTGCTGCTGATGGTGGTTGTGGTGATGCTACTGATGATGCTACTGATGATGCTGCTGATGATGAAGCTGCTGCTGATGATGATGCTGCTGCTTCTGCTGCTACTGATGATGCTGATCTTGTTGATGCTGATGGTGGCGGTGGTGATGACACTGCTGCTGATGATAATGCTGCTGCTGTTGCTTCTGCTGATGCTGATCTTGATGCTGCTGATGATGGTGATGCTGCTACTGATGATAATAGTACTAATGATGGTGATGATGATGATGATAATTATACTCATGATGACGATGCTGCTGACGATGCTACTGATGATGATGCTGCTGGACTCACTCAGGACGCGCTCCCCAGGCCCTGCCTCGTGCTCCTCCTCCTCGTCGTCGTCGATGGGGCGACACGCGCCCTGGGACGCGCCTGGCACACGCAGCAACAACAGCAGCAGCATCATCATCATCAGCAGCAGCATCATCATCATGAGCAGCATCATGAGCTGCATCATCAGCAGCAGCAGCAACAGCATCAGCAGCACCAGCAGCATCAGCAGTATCAGCAGTAGTAGCGTCATTATCAGCAGTAGCGGCAGCATCAGCATCATCATGAGCAGTATCAGCATCATCATGAGCAGTATCAGCATCATAATCAGCAGCAACAGCATCAGCAGGTCCAGCAGCACCAGCAGCATCAGTAGCATCATCATCAGCAGCAACATGAGCAGCAGCATCAGCTGTATAATCAGTAGCAGCATCATTATCAGCAGCAGCAACACCAGCAGCGTCATCAGCAGTAGCATCAGCAGTAGCATCATTGTCAGCAGCCTTTTCAGCAGCATCAGCAGCTTTATCATCATCATCATCATCATGTTAATCCGATGCATCAGCTACATCAGCATCATCAGCAGTATCATCATCAGTAGCAGCATCATCAGCAGCAATATCAACATCAGTAGCAATATCAACATTATCAGTAGCATCATCATCAGCATCATAAACAGCATCATCAGCATCATAAGCAGCATCATCAGCAGCAACATCATCATGAGCATAATTAGCAGCAACATTATCAGCAGCAGCATCAGCAGAAACGTTATCATAATCATCAGCAGCAGTAGCATCAGCATCATCATCGTCATCAGCATCATCATCGTCATCAGCAGGATAAGCATTAGCAGTAGCAGCATGAGTAGCAGCGTAATCAGCAGCAGCATCATCATGAGCAGCATCAGCATCGTCATCAGCAGCATCATTATCACGAGCAGCAGCATCATCAGCAGTACCAGCAGTATCATAAGCAGCAGCGTTGTCATCAGCAGCGTCGTCAGTCATCAGCAGCAGCATCATCAGACTCACGTACTAATTCATTCACCCACCCACCTGCGCAGATCTTCACTGACCTTCAGATTCACACACTACACTACCCACACTACACACCCACACACACTACACACACTCTACACACTCACTACACTACCCACACTACACTACCCACACTACACCCTCTCCACACACTCTCCAAACATACTACACACACACTACACTACACCCTCTCCACACACTACACCCTCTCCACACACTACACACACACACGCTCACTACACTACCCACACTACACCCTCTCCACACACTCTCCAAATACACTACACACACACTACACACACTACACACTCACTACACTACCCACACACGCTACACAATTAACGCAGACCACTGCACACCACCACAATACAAAGACAAAGATTCCCATTGTAGCCTTAGGGGCCGTCCATAAATGACGTCACGCGATTTGGGCCGATTTTTTACCCCCCCCCCTTCGTCACACGGTGTCATAAAAAGTCAGACCCCCTCAAATATGACGTCACAAAGCTCGCCCCCCCCCCAACCATATTTTTATTTTGAAAATAAAACATACTTCAAATCATTCATAATAAAGGTTTTTGGGTTAGATCGCGTTATTTATAAATGTGTCGTAACCCTCCACCACCCGACACGGCCAAGCAGCAAAAAAGTGTCACGTTGACAAAAGACAAAATAGTTCACTACTATAGCCCACCGGTGTGTTGAAGAGTGAATCCACAACAGTTAGAGTTTGAGTACGACGTTTTGCTGGTAATTACATCCAGCATCATCGGGCAATTCGCCAGAATGGTAAAGCCCTCACTTGCTCCCGGTCTTAAATAGAGCAGCAGGGTGACGTCATAATTTAACTCATTCAGGTGCAGTGATTTGAGGCGGAGGGGGGGAAAATTGTAATTATATAATGGATTGGTGATCAGTCAATGGTTATGATTAGTAATGAGTTGTAATGTGTGTTATTGTGATTATATGCTACGTTAGTAATCCGTTAATTAGTATGTGTTTCCTCTATAAGGAATTGTAATATGTATTTTTTTTATAATACGCTTCCAAGCCGCACTAAGCGTGTAGCTGTCAGAGCGATTAAAGTTGTTTCTATTTCTCTCAATTTCAATGGATTCTCTAAATAGTCTTTGCCAGTAATATATAGTTTTACACAACACTTCAACGTTATGAAAATCATTCGAGTGTCCTTGGTGACAAGCATGTACTGCCACTGCCGACAGTTGTGTTTGAGATAATTTAATATAATTTAATATTTATTTGGTGTTATTTTAGTCTTAGCTATAGCTATAGTGGACAGACGGGATGTAACATCAGCATAAGACTATTGGAGATCATTTAATATCTCAAACACAACTGTCGGCAGTGAGAGAAATAGAAATAACTTTAATCGCTCTGACAGCTACAGGCTTAGTGCGGCTTGGAAGCGTATTATTAAATAATACATATTACAATTCCTTAAAGGGGGAACACATACTAATTAACGGATTACTAACGTAGCATATAATCACAATAACACACATTACAACTGATTACTAATCTACAACTCATTACTAATCATAACCATTGACTGATTACCAATCGATTATATAATTACAATACCCCCCCCCCCCCCTCTGTCTCAAATCATTTCACCTGAATGAGTCAAATGATGATGTCACTCTGCTGCTCTATTTAAGATCGGGAGCAAGTGAGGGCTTTACCATTCTGGCGAATTGCCCGATGATGCTGGATGTAATTACCAGCGAAACGTCGTACTCAAACTGTAACTGTTGTGGATTCACTCTTCAACACACCGGTGGGCTAAAGTAGTGAACTATTTGTTATTTGTCAACGTGACACTTTTTTGCTGATTGGCCGTGTCGGGTGGTGGACGGTTACAACACATTTATAAATAACGCGATATAACCCAAAAACCTTTATTATGAATAATATTGGTCGCGAAAGCCTACGTGTTCAACTGATGCTTCAAAGCACTTTAAACTATTGTCATTGTAGTGCGTATTTAATGTGGCGCTGCACAATGAATTTGTTGTAGTAGAATACATTTATTAAAAAGGAGGCGTTGGAAAGCTTAAATTTAGCATAAAATTTACTTGTAAATATTCAACGTCTAACTGAAACTGCAGATGTTCCGAATATTATTTTGAAATTCTCTCATAGTTATAAAGTATTAAAGGTAATAACTATAAAAACATATATATATTCTTAGTTCTTTCAGTAAAGTCACGTTGAAGGGAAATAATAAAATAATAATATATATAGCAAAATAAAATTATCACGACGTTTCGACTGCAACACAAGCAGTCATCATCAGGTGTGAAAACCAATGGCAAGAACATTTGAAAGAAGTGGCGGTTCGCATTTATTTATTTATTTTTTTACGTTAGCGCCATGGATAGCGATTTGACAGTTTGTTAGATGGACGAGTCCATCTATGCTCGGAAAAGAGGAGGGGGGAGACGAAAAATTAATGTATGCTGTCTGAAAGCCACCGTAAGCGTGAACAATCAATTAAGACCCGAAATGGTTTATCAAATCCATCCAATGATTGCTAAGCCAGAATCCATCTTCTCGGTTGAAATTGTCTCTGTGTTTGTATGTGTGGATAGCCTCATGAACGAATCTCTCATGGTAGCCAGATGGCTTGCAAAGAACGTTTGTGTTGGAGAAGTCAATGTCATGTGAGCCTACTGAATTATAATAGTGATCTGCCACGGCCGAGGTGTTGGTCCTACCGTGTTTAAGGTCTGCTTTGTGTTCACGAATGCGGTCCGAGACATGCCGTTTGGTTTCTCCAATGTACCTACTACCACAGAGGCAACTTAGTTTGTAGACACCAGCGTACTGTATGTCCGGAATCACATCTTTTACAGACGGAACCAGATCACGGATTTTATGTAATGTGTTGAAACGGACCTGGATCTTGTGTTTATTCAAGATTTTGGAGATCTTTTTGTGATCCCCGCAATGTAGGGTAAAGTGATGGTTTTGAAAGGCTCCTCAAGAGGGTCCTTCTTCATGGTTTGAGTGATAGCTTTGCGGATTGTATAGTCGGAGTAACCATTAGCCTTAAGAGCTTGGTATACGTGCTTGAGTTCACTGCCTATGTGTTCCTGATCGGATATGCATTGGGCTCTATGGTGCAGAGTCTTGATGAGAGAATTCTTCTGTGATGGATGGTGGTGGGAATCCGGTTTCAGATAAGCATTTATATGGGTAGCTTTCCTGTAGACAGAGTGGCTCATTGAACCATCAGGTCTCTTTTTTATTAGGACATCCAAAAAAGGTAGCTTGCCATCTTTTTCGACTTCCATGGTAAATCTGATGGCTGGGTGTATGGAATTGATGTGGTCGAAGAATTGGTCTAGAGCAGGCCGGCCATGTGGCCAGATGACAAAAGTGTCATCCACATACCTCTTCCATAAGGTTGGGCGCAGAGTGGTAGTCTGGATGGTGTCAGTCTCAAATGTATCCATGAAAATGTTGGCTATAACCGGAGATAGGGGGGAGTCCATTGGGGTGCCCTCAGTTTGTTTGTATGAAGTTCCATTCCAAGTGAAGTATGCATTGGCTAAGCAGTGTCTCACCAGGGAGGGTACCTCAGTGTTTTGTCCTTGATGAACCAAGTCTTCAATGATTGCAATGGTGTCAGGTACAGGAACTTTGGTGAATAAGGAAACTACATCAAAACTGACAAGCAGGTCGTCTGGGGACACCTTTGATTGTCGATACCAGGTGAGTAGAATTTTGTACCGCAGAGGTGGTTTTTCCAGTGAAAGGCCGCAGGATTACAGACAGAAAACGAGCCAGTTTGTAGGTGGGGGAGTTGATAGTAGAGACGATGGGACGAAGGGGTGTATCTACTTTATGTATTTTTGGTAAGCCGTATAATCTTGGTGGCCTGGCAGCAGAAGGTTTAAATGAAAACTGTTTAGTTTGATCAATTAATGCGGTTGAATCAGAAATTATTTTGTTGGTTTGTGTGACGAGGCTGTAGGTGGGATCTCTTTTTATTTTTGTATAGCTGCCATCGTCGAGTAATTCTTTAATTTTGTTGTT